CTTCGAGTCGATGCCGTACAAGCTGAACCCCGAGACGGCGGAGATCGACTACGACAAGCTGCAGGAGACGGCGCGCCTCTTCAAGCCGCGCCTCATCATCGCAGGTGCGGCTGCGGTGTGAGGGCCATGCCGTGTGTCAGGCTGGTTGTCTCCAGCGATCGCCTGTCGCGCATGAGTGAGGAGCCATGGCGGCATTCTCACCAAGTTAGATTGATTGACACGATGAAATGGTATACGTGTGGCGGGAGGGGGGGAGACTGGACCGAAACCGGGGGCCAGGACCCGGACCCGGACCCGGACCCCGACCCCGACCCGACCCGGACCCGGACCCGGACCCGGACCCGGACCGGGACCGGACAGGACCAGGACCAGGACGAGAGTCCAGTCACAGGTGATGTCGTACGTTGTGGAGGGGTTTCAGCCGCAGGCTTGGCTGGGATGTAGTGACCGGGAGAGAGGCGTGGCCAGAGGAGACGTGACCGTAACCGGTTACCGCGCCCGCTCCACCAGGCGTCTCCTGCTACCCGCGTGACCTGGACTACGCCCGCTTCCGCCGGAATCGCCGACGACGTGGGCGCCCTGCTGATGGCCGACATGGCGCACGTGTCCGGCCTGGTGGCGGCCGGCGTGGCGCCGTCGCCTTTCGAGCTCTGCGACATCGTCACCAGCACCACGCACAAGACGCTGAGGGGCGCGCGCGCCGGCCTCATCTTCTTCCGTCGAGGTGCGTCCCGAGCGCGGGGTGTCAGCGGGAAGGAGAGGAGGGAGGTGCGGCCGCCCCAAGATGGAGAGGAGAGGAGGAATCGCAGGGTTTTGGTGGCGTTGGCCTGGGGAATGGGGGTTCGCCTCCTCCAGAGCACTGGGACACCAGTCCGAGAGCCTGGTCCGCCCTGGCCCAGAGGGGGAGGGGGTGGGGGTGCGAGTGAGAGAGTGGTGACTCGTCCCGTCACTGGGACTTTACGACGCTTTCAGCTGCTGGGGCTATATGGCATCGCCTGGCTCTCACCCTGGCAGGAGGGGCGGGCACCGCGGGGATTCGAAGCCCGTATCTCTGGTTTCCCAGATGCGTAGTAGATTAACGCAGACGTAACCACTACACTTTCGGCACCCTGGGAGGGTAGTAAATTAAGGAGTTAGATGTGTGGAGGGTTAAGGAGATGCTGTTGACGGGTTGATAATAGACTCACCACCTATTATTGCCTGTTGTGAGGCGTTTATTTGGCTGTATGCATACCACAAAACATGAAGCGCAACGCATCCACACCGACCTTTTTGCCCACGTGGTTGTGTTAACTTGTGAGCATCTTACACTACCTATCAACCCAGAACGTCGCCGAGCACCCCGCCGTAGCACGACCACGACCAACGTGAACGCCTGCCCTCCCGCCTGCAGGGGTGCGTTCGGTGGACCGGACTGGGAAGGAGGTGCCGTACGACCTGGAGGACCGCATCAACCAAGCCGTGTTCCCCGGCCTGCAGGGGGGTCCTCACAACCACGCCATCGCCGGCGTGGCCTGCGCCCTGCTGCAGGCGCAGACGCCCGAGTTCAAGCTGTACCAGACGCAGGTGAGGACGGCGTCCGAGGGCGCGGGGGAGGGGGGGGGGGGGGGACGGGGCAGACGGGTGGGTAGATGAGCAGTCGCCCCGTCTATCTCCTGTCGTCCAGTCACATACCTCCCCTGTTTTCCCGGCATCTCCGTTTTTTCTCCGCTCTGGTCATCCGAACCTCGCTGTTTCCGTTTCTCCCCTCTGCGTTGTTTCCAAAGCTGACACAGCTCGAGTTAGGCGCCCGAGCTACATTGAGGGTGTTAAGATTGTCTTCGTCGCCTTTCCGCCCCTCTCCCCCCCCCCTTCCCCCACCATTGGGGACCTCCCACCATAATCTGCGGGCCGGCCCGCCTCTCCCCTCCCAGTTCTCCTGATGCATCCCGACCGCTCTGCCCCGCCCCCCTCAGGTGGTGGCCAACGCGCGCCGCCTGGCGGCCGGCCTGAAGGCCCGCGGCTACACGCTGGTCACCGGCGGCACCGACAACCACATCGTGTGGCTGGACCTGCGCGGCACGGGCCTCACCGGCGCCAAGGGCGAGCTCCTCCTGGAGGCGGCCGCCATCGCCTGCAACAAGAACACCGGTGCGGAGCGGGGGGAGGAGGTGGTGCCGGTGGCGAGGCCCGATGCTGCTGCATGCTGTATGGTGTGGCAGTTGATCTAAAGCCGCACTAATAAAAAACTCATGAACCTTTAGTCACCTCTGATAAAGTAGGATTCTGGCCATGCTATCGTTTCGCCGTCTATCCCTGCTGCGTCTGGTTTTGTGGCCGTCTGCTGCGCTGAAGGCCGGCCTGTCTGCCACAGTGCCGGGTGACAAGTCTGCGCTGAATCCGAGCGGCCTTCGTCTGGGCACGCCGGCCCTCACCACGCGCGGCCTCACCGAGGAACACTTCGACACGGTGGTGGACTTCATCGACAAGGGTGAGTGACCCACGTCTCACCGAAGCCCGGCAACGCGCGCTGTTTTGTGTACATGAAAGGCCGTTTTGCCAAATTTTCACAGCCTGTATGGTTTCGATATGACTCGGACGTACTTCGATCTGTTCCGTCCCCGTCTTCCCACAATGTGCTCTGATGTGCCCGCCTGGGTGTCCCGCAGCACTGCAGCTGGCTAAGCAGGTGGTGGCCGTCTCCGGCGTCAAGATGGTCGACTTCCGCCGCGTGCTGGCCGGCGAGCAGTTCGCTGAACCTGCCACCAAGCTGCGCGGCGAGGTCGAAGCGTTCGCCGGCCAGTTCCCGCTGCCGGGCCTGGGCGAGCTCTAGAGCCATCTGTCGGCGGCGTGCGGTACTGCAAGTGCCTGCGCCGTCCGTTCGCCATGCGTGCGGCGGCGGTGATTCGGTTCGGCGCTCTTGGAAAGGGGGATCGACGACACGTTGGTAGTGATGGTTAGGGAGCGCTTTGATTTGCTGGGAGGTATATCGTCAGTGTTCCCAGGCTGCCGGGCTAATCAGACGGTGCCTGGGACAACAAAACCATGCAATTCCTCTGTTTAACAGGGCAGCGTCAGGCTTGTCAAGCCCGGGGATCTCTGGGGCGGTCATGTGAGAAAACATGACCGCCATTGTCCCCAGCAGAACTGACCCACAATCACAAATTCAGACCAAGCGACAGGTTCCAGACCTGTGCTTTGGTTACTAACGAAACCAACCATTGCAGCCACTCCTTGCCAATGTACTGTGCCATTGATGTCTAACAATACTCTGAAGCCGTTCGTGGCACGGCGTCTTTCATTAGGTCCGACATCTCGCTCTGGTGGCGCGTCTCCCAGATGCGGCACTGTTCGGATGCCTTGTCTTCCATCGGCCGCTGTGATATCCCGATCCGTGTGATTCTCCAGCGCGACGTCATTGCTGTAGCGCGCCGAACGGTACGTCATTACTGTGGCGCGTCGAGGGGTGACGTCATTACTGTAGTGCCGGATAGCGACGTCACTGGCGCGCCGAGCGGTGATGTCATTACTGTAGTGCCGAGTGGTGACGTCATCACCGTAGCTCGTCGAGCGGTGACACTGCTGTCCCGATGCTGCTGGGACCAGTCATGGATGCCCGCTGTCGCTCCGTGGGTGACACCGGCAGCGGCGTGTCGCCTTACAGGTGGCTGTTCAGAAGCAAATACAGGTTCTGTTCGGAGTGGAGCGCGGTGTTGTCATGTCAGGGCAGAGGTGCCGGGGATACTGTGGAGACAGACGAGAGGAAGCGCAGGCAAAGCGTGGTGATGTGCAGTATCTGCAACGTATTGGACGGCATGCTGTATGTGCTGAATGCTGCGATTTTTCGTTCTGTTAAGATCATGGGCCTGGCCATAGTCTGACAAACAAAAACGTGTTTCAAAGTTTATCAGTCCTGGATACGATGCCCTTATCTGCCAATGAAACATTAGCCGGGATGAAGGTGAAAGCAGGTGGCTGGCCGCGTACCGGCAATAATCAGCGTATTTATGACCATGCTGAACGCTGAACAGCAGGGCTGACGGCTCTTTGGTTGTATGTTGGCCGGCTGATGGTGCCAATGGTATGCTGGTATCTCCCGGGGTTTTCTGAGTTTTCGCTTGACAGCTCCCAGCATGGGAGAAGTATAGTTTGTCGCCTTAGCCGTATACTCCCCGCGATTTACCATGCTAATGTCCGGTGGGGTGCAACTAGGGCGCGAATGATGCGTGAAAAGCAAAGGGGTGGGGTCTGAATCAACCGCCAGTCAGGACTAGTGTCAAAGGAGAATTATTCCAGGCACCACCACGGTACCCACTAAGTGTTTCAAATGTCTATATAGCTGATTGCGACGAAGTAGCAAAAATCAGTGGTCTAAGTTACAGACACCAGATCGTCAGGAACAGTCTCCCTCACACGTCGGGCGCGCGGAACTATATTACTGCGTCGCGGAATAGCTGTATGCAGCTGTTGAGACCGTGAGCTGATATTCTGCGGTCGGCGTGCGTGGGTCATCCCCATGCCAAAATGCCCAAATAAGGACAGATCCAAAGAAACCTCCGATTCTTCCAGGTTAGCAGCCGGACAGCAAGAGTCCCGATGATCTGATCACAACATTGCCCCAGCGGTTTCGGTCCTGGGTGCGCCCCTGCTCGACGTCTGCATAATGGGCTGAGCCACGTGGGGCGCTGCCTGGCGACCGCGTGTGTTTGTTATCGTTAGCTCGTGTGTCGACGAGGATCAATGCCGTAGAGATGCAAAAGCCGGTCGAGTGACGAACAATCTGTTCAGCATGAAATCCAATTGGGCTGCTAAAAAAACGCCTTGATTGGTTCAGCCACTACTCTTCTGTAGCTGAAGCTGAGTCAATTTTCCTGAGATTGTCAACAAAAGTCCACCTCCAAGTGTCGGCGGCATGAGTTTGCATCTCCACCGCCGGGGCCTCCACACACCGGCGCAGCGTCGCCTGGTGGCGCTAGTGTCGCCGGTCGACAGCCGACGGGCGACGCAGCCGACAGACGCAGCGAGAAGTGAGCTCCGTGGAGCTGAGCGCGCGCGGCGACACTCGGGCTTAACAAGGAGCAGCACTCGCTGCTAGGGAGAGGTGAGCGGCGTTATCGCCTCAAGGCATCGGCCACGTGTGGGGGCCGTGCACACGAGGTGTGTGCAGACGTGCATCAGCAGCGCGCACACATATGCATACGTTTGCACACGTCATGTTACTGCACTCAGCGCATGATAATGGTCGCTAAGCGTGGAGCGAACGACGCTTCGTTGCCGAAAATGAAAGACTGGCACGGAATTAGTCATGCCTTGACGTTGGAACTCGACACGAGAAGTCGCTACATTCGCAAACCCTCGTCATTATTCCAGTTACAATGACGCTCGGAATGTCTGGCTGACATAAACTGCAACTGCACAGATAACAGCGTGTGTGCTCGAAGTCATATGGATTCAAATGGCTTACCCTCGTCCCCGTTCATCTCACGACTGCAGGATGCTGACTGACGAGCAGAAGCAGTTCTACGCCGAGAACGGCTACGTCCTGCTGGACGACGTGTTCTCGAAGGAGGAGGTGGACGAGATCAGCAGGGAGTATGACTCTGTGTTCGCCAGGCGAGTCTCGGACACCCTTGAAAACCTGAGTATCCTGCCAGTTTCTGAGAATCCTTGCGAGTCTCTGAGCACCGAGGCCAGTCTCTGGCTACCCAGACCGGTCTGTGAACCCGGGCGGTTTCTGAGTACCCCGGCCAGTTTCGGGTGCAGAGGTCAGTTTCGGGCACCCTGGCTGGCCTCTGAGAGCCCAGGTCAGTTTCGGGCACCCTGGCTAACCTCTGAGAACCCAGGTCGGGCTCGGACATCCTGCGAGGCGACACGTCGAGATCCAAGAGATTGTCCCGAGTGTTTTCCTTTGGCAAACTAGTCGAAATGTGATTGGATTGTCTCAAGCATGACCAAGAAATTGCAGTTGTCCACTCGTAATCTGTTGTGCTGTTTGTGTCGAAGGAAACAAGTGCTGCCGAAAGTGAGTCAATGAAACCTCCGACAAGTTCGGCCACCATTCCAAGCGTCAACAACACTCGCGCGCGCAAACCCATATTGGTGTCACCTGTCAGGAACCAAGCGACCTGCCCTGATCTGGCCTGGCCCACCAGACCCCAGGGAGGGGGGACCTGACCTGGCCCCGTCTCCCACCAGAGCCCAGGTGACCCACCCTGACCTGAGCTGATCTTTCTCAGCAGGGCCCAGGGGACCTGACCTGGCCCCGTCTCCCGCCAGAGCCCAGGTGACCCACCCTGACCTGAACTGACCTTTCTCACCAGGGCCCAGGGGACCTGACCTGGCCCCGTCTCCCGCCAGAGCCCAGGTGACCCACCCTGACCTGAACTGACCTTTCTCACCAGGGCCCAGGGGACCAACAGTCAGATGGACGGAACCTGGACCGGAGACTGGCAGAGGGACGGCATGCCGGACGGCAGGAACTTCACCGTCAGTGGCGGCCTCTTTACCCAATCCCACGCTCTTAGCCAGACCTCGCCGTTCAATGTCGCACTTTCGCTCACTTCATCACTTACTTGATGTCAAAATCTCATCGTCATTTATGTGGGCAGGTATAAAATGGCGGCCTTTTTACCCGACCCCACGCTCCTAGCCAGACCTCGCCGTTCAATTTCACGCCTTCGCTTCCTTCACCACTTACTTGATGTCAGAATCTCAGCGTCATTTATGTGGGCAGGCATAAAATGGCGGCCTTTTTACCCGACCCTACGCTCCTAGCCAGACCTCGCCGTTCAATTTCACGCCTTCGCTTCCTTCACCACTTACTTGATGTCAGAATCTCAGCGTCATTTATGTGGGCAGGTATAAAAAGGCGGCCTTTTTACCCGACCCCACGCTCCTAGCCAGACCTCGCCTTTCAGTTTCACGCCTTCGCTTCCTTCATCACTTACTTGATGTCAGAATCTCAGCGTCATTTATGTGGGCAGGTATAAAATGGCGGCCTTTTTACCCGACCCCACGCTCCTAGCCAGACCTCGCCTTTCAGTTTCACGCCTTCGCTTCCTTCATCACTTACTTGATGTCAGAATCTCAGCGTCATTTATGTGGGCAGGCACAGTAGATCACGGATGTCACATGGAGTGTCTGCTCCCTCGACCACCTCTCCTATACGTCCTGTCGTCCATCCATCCGTTCGTCGATGGTCCTCCCCTTGCGGGCATAATGGACTGCTCCTTGCCTTGACATGAGACCTCAGTGGCCCGCGGAGCGCGTGGTTCAAAGCAACAAGTGTTTTGGCATAAACAAAAAATATGCTGTGAGCTACATTGGGGACGAAACAACATCGCTCTACATCGCCATTTTGTTTGTTGCCGCTTGGTCGTGACCGCGTTGTACCGCATGGTTCGATCAGCAAACCATCAGTAATGAAGCAAACACAAATGGTGTCCTCCGCACAACATTTATGTCCCTGGCCTCCATTTTGCGCCGTGAAGCTTTGCCACAGCGCCGCCGGCAACATCTTCCGGTGCCAAGCCATGCCGCGATGCTTCCAGGTGCATTCGATCCACAACCTGCAGTTCCACAGCGCCACCTTTATGAGGATGCTGGTGCACCAGCGCATGATGGAGGCCTGCAGTGACGTCATGGGCACACAGAACATCCTGCTGCACCACACCAAGGCGCACGTGAAGCCGCCGGGCCGCGGCTCGCCGTACCCTATGCACCAGGTCAGGCCGGCGACACGGAGGGCCGGCCGGCGAGCGACGAGGGGGACATGATGGAGAAGGCTCTGTATTAGCTGTCGTCCTCGTGTTGGCTCTGGCGATGTTTTGTTAGCCGGAGGCGGAATCATAGTTTTGTTACCACACGTCACATCATCGGCATATCAGTTTTTTATTGACAATGCGTGGTTCCCAAACCCGGCGCATTTTGACGGCACAGTCTTATCACTGACGTCTAATCGAGCGTCATACCGAGGGGCCAAAGCGCACGTAACCGGCCACGCATGTCGCGCGCTGCAAAACCTCATGGTGCATACAAACGGTAACACTGCCATCTCTGGGTCGTCAGGATTACCACTACTTTCCCTTTCGCCACGACTCAATGGTGGCCGTGTTCATCCACCTGGACGACTCGGACGTGGAGAACGGCTGTCTGGCCGTGTACCCGGGCTCCCACAAGCTGGGGCCGCAGAAGGACTGCAGTTCTGACCCCGGCTTTCACCACCTGGACCAGGTCCGTCGAGCAGAGGCGACTAAAGCGCAGCTGCACTGAACTGTCTATAATTTTTTATTTGGTGTGATCTGCCGACTGGTGATCTCTCGATTGGTGTGTCCAGATGTCGCACACGGCACGTTGCACGCCCATCTGAGGCGAATAGAACATATGGCGTTCAGTACATAATGCGCGGAACGAAACGCAAGTGACCCAACTTCGCGCGTGCATCCTACTTCACCGACCAGGCATTGTAGGCAAGGCTTATTTTGTACGAGTGAAGTAGAGGAGCAGCTTCACGAAATTAACACCAGCTTGTAAACGAGCTACGGTGTTCTGGAACCGAGTACTCAAAGCTCCGTTTCCCTCCAGAAATTCATCCTGCTATTCTTCCCCTCGGTCCGCCAGCTTACGCATGCCCCGAAGGCAGCACAATGCATGTCACGTGACATTCGCCGACGTCCCGCGTCTGGTCGCATCGGCACCACGTGACCGCCACGCCTTCGTCCCGCCAGGAGCAGTTTCCGCTGTCGAAGGCGTCAGCACTGGAGGGCCGCCGGGGTCAGGTGGCCATCTTCTCCTACCTGCTGATCCACGGCAGCTACCCCAACCTCTCGGAGCGCACTCGGCGCATGCTACTCGTCCAGGTCAGAGCATGGGATGCACGGGCGTTTGTAGAACTTCACAATGGGTGGGGGTGGGGGGAGGGGGCTCACAATAAAAAAGTGGTCACTGAAAACCGGGCTTAGTGCGTTAGCGCGCGAAATTGCTTGTAGGGCGTAAAATAACACCGGATAGTCTCGATCTGCCTTATTTTAGTATCTGCCTCGAATGTTGAATTCCAACATTAACTCTAGCACGTAATAATGCATGCAAGAAGTCTGATACGGCGGGAGAGGCGCACACCCCCGGAAGCCACAATGTGGATGTGCTCCTAAAGTAGCGAGTTAACGCACAGGATGTCCGCGTGACGCATGGCTTCGCCCAGTGCCTGCCACAACTGGGCTCGATTCCCGAGCGCGATCCCCGTCGATTTCGACGCGGCGTATCCCAATGGAGCTGGCGCGAGCTGGGTTCCGGATGAAACTCGCGCTGTCTTGTCCGTCGTGTTTTTTTTCTTCCGGCAGAAATGATCTGTGTTCCACGTGACCCGTGCCCAGGTTCAGCTGCCGCCCACGACCGCACCACCAGCTCTGCGCCTGTCGTGACGCAGCTGTCCGTTACGTCTCAGGCGGCGTCCGTCACGTAATACCGATGCGCATTCCGCTGCACGTGACGTGTGCTCGGGCCCAGCCTTCGCCTGACGGCCGCTGCGTTTCAGCTGATGGCGGCCGAGGACGAGCCGCTGAAGATGATGCACGTCTCGCCGGGCCAGGGCCTCTGTCTGCTGGGCACCAACAGTCGCGCAGACACAGACATCAGGCGCAGACACCAGCCGGCCGAGGCGACAGACTGAGCGGCCTGGGGCGGGCTCGGGCGGACTGAGGCGGCGCTCAGGCTGAGGCGGCGCTCAGCCTGAGGCGGCGCTCAGGCTGACGCAACGCTCAGTCTGAGGCGGCACTCAGGGTGAGGCGGCACTCAGTCTGAGGCGACGCTCAATCTGGGGCGGCACTCAAGCTGAGGCAGCGCTCAGGCTGAGGCGGCGCTCAGTCTGAGGCAGCGCTCAGGCTGGGGCGACGCTCAGTCTGAGGCGATGTTCTGTCTTAGGCGGCGCTCAGTCTGAGGCGGCGCTCAGTCTAAGGCGGCACTCAGATTGAGGCGGCGCTCAGGCTGAGGCGGCACTCAGGCTGAGGCGGCACTCAGGCTGAGGCGGCGCTCAGGCTGAGGCGGCGCTCAGGCTGAAGCGGCGCTCAGGCTGAGGTGGCGCTCAGGCTGAGGTGCTCGTCGGACCGAGGTCGAGGCGTCAGCGGTAGAGAGAGGCGGAGTGAGCGAGTCTAGCCAGGAGTGACGGACCACGCCGCCGCTGGGCGGGGGGAAATCGAGCCATCCTGGCCGCACTCGTGGGCCTGGTCCAACGTTGGCACCAGAGTGGGTTTCTGAAGTCTGGTTGGCGGTGGATGGCTCCGATGTTAGCTGTGTGTCTCTGGAGCGTTCTCAGTTACACAGCTGTTGGAGATAGTCCCTTAGTCCATGGGATTTCCCGTAGCCTGTGATTGGCTCCGAATCTGGGGAATTGTCTCGCACATCATAAAGTCGAAAGTCAGCCTGCTGACCACCTGCAGGCTGAGATTTTCCCGGAGTTGACCATCGCTTACGTCGAGCGGTATTCCACTGACCTGAAGTACCAATGCTAAGTCCGAGAAAACTTGTCAAACTTTTCCCCTGAGTCAATGACGCTCATGAATTTATGTTCAGCTTCTATATTTAGCTGGTTTTTAAGTCCGTTTACGTGTTGCCTGCGCGTATATAATGAAGCGCCAGGATCTTCATGTTAGCAGTCGCTCTAGCTGACCAGACTCTGCGTCTTCTTGCCTTACAACTAGTGGTATCATTGAATCGTGCTCGCGTATCAAACCACATGGTGTGCCGTAGTCATCGAGACCCGATAGAACCGCAGGTTCAAATGGCTGAAAATAGCAAATTGTGAATCAATTGGCTGATGTTCACTGCCTGTTGTGAGGCGGGATTCATTGGGGAGAGAGTCGTGTGACCTTAGGTTAATACCATTAGCAGGTGCAGCAGCCATGTAACAAGCGCCGTGTGCCCACTGTCTTGTGGTGCCATGAGATGGTCTTGAGTCTCAGTCCCTTGGACGCCGCATACACTGCTCAACGATATGTTTAGACGCCTTCGACTGTGCTGTGCGAAGTGTATGGGGTTATTGTGCCCCTAAGCAATATATGCTACCACCGAGCTTGCCAAGCGTTGAGGACCACTGGGCGCCTGTAAAACCCGAGTTTGCCACACGTTGAAGACCACTGGGCGCCTGTAAAACCCGAGCTTGCCACGCGTTGAAGACCACTGGGCGCCTGTAAAATCCGAGCCTGTAGAATCCGAGCTTGTCACGCGTTGAGGACCTCTGGGCGCTTGTAAAACCCGAGCTTGCCACGCGTTGAGGACCACTGGGCGCCTGTAAAACCCGAGCTTGCCACGCGTTGAGGACCACTGGACGCCCATAAGACAGTCGTTGGAGTTTCTCTCGGACTAACGCCGGAACCAAGCCGCAGAACCAAGCGTGAGGGGCTTGAGATGCGCTGGTTGATTTCAGCGTGGCGCGAGTCAACTAGTCCAACGTCTAGTTGCACACGCCGTGGTTGGAGCAGCGTCCCGCTTTGGAAAGTCTGGGCGCTACAGGCGGCTTTCCCAGCAGGACAGAATCTGCTATGCCCTGTTTTGGCGTGGTTTGTGCACGCTTTTTACCGTTATTTTCGAAGCTGTAATGCCAACGGATAAACACAAGCGGCAACCCTCTACGTGCTGCAATGTAAATCATGGGCTGCTCAGTACGTGCTGGCAGCAGCGGAGGTGTCATGATGCACATTTTAACCAGAGCTGAATGATGTAACCCACCTAACGCCATGAGCGCTCACGACCTGGTGCAACCTGGCGCAAACACAACGCGCGGGTACCGACGCACCGAGTCACGTGCTGACAGCTACGGGCGCCTCTGCGCCTGTCCATTTACTCCTCACCGCTTCCACACCTGCACGCCTCTACGCCTGTCCATTTACTCCTCATCGCTTCCACACTTACACGCCTCTGCGCCCGTCCATTTACTCATCACCGCTTCCACACTTGCACGCCTCTACGCCTGTCCATTTACTCCTCACCGCTTCCATACTTACACGCCTCTGTGCCTGTCCATTTACTCCTCACCGCTTCCACACTTGCACGCCTCTGCGCCTGTCCATTTACTCATCACCGCTTCCACACTTGCACGCCTCTGCGCCTGTCCATTTACTCATCACCGCTTCCACACTTACACGCCTCTGCGTCCGTCCATTTACTCCTCACCGCTTCCACACTTACACGCCTCTGAGCGTGTCCATTTACTCCCCACCACTTCCACACTTACACGCCTCTGCGCGTGTCCATTTACTCCTCACCGCTTCCATACTTACACGCCTCTACGCCTGTCTATTCACTCCCCATCGCTTCCACACTTATACGCCTCTGAGCGTGTCCATTTACTCCTCACCGCCTCCACACTTACACGCCTCTGCGCCTGTCCATTCACTCCCCATCGCTTCCACACTTACACGCCTCTACGCCTGTCCATTTACTCATCACCGCTTCCACACAAGCGCGCGCATTGGCTCATGACGCTGTTATTTTGCTGGACAAATAATAATTGTGTGCCAAATTCCGATGAGCGCCCCTTCATTGTATATGCAGCGCTCGCGCTCCTGGGAGGGCGACCTTGTTTATAGAGACCCAAACAGAGGAGGGTGCCGCCGCCCGGTCTCCCGCACAAGAAATAGTAGTGTGTAGAGACACGGTAGCGACGGTGCGCGTTGAGTGCGGACGCAAAACCGAATGCCAAAGTGAGCGAAGTTCGCGGGTGACGCATCCTTATTTGCGTTCATACGTGGGTGCAAACATAGTGCACGCAAACAAGCGTTACTCTGAAGATGTGGATGTGTGTGCTCGTCGTCGTGGCAACCGCTGGGTTCTGTCCGGCGGTGGCCGGTGCTCGCGAGCACGCGGGGAGCACGTCCAAGGTCCGTCTGCATCGCAAGCTGGCAAACATCGTGCGCGACGACTTCCTCAGTTTTGCCATCGACGATGGCATTGCCAAAAAGAACTGGGAGCACCTGGACCTAAGGTGAGGGTGGCCTTGTGAGAACGGCAGGTGTGAGAACCTCTTGTGAGAACCGCAGGTGTGAGAACCTCTTGTGAGAACGGCAGGTGTGAGAATCTTTTGTGAGAACCGCAGGTGTGAAAACCTCTCGTGAGAACGGCAGGTGTGGAACCTCTTGTGAAAACGGCAGGTATGAGAACCTCTTGTGAGAACGGCAGGTGTGAGAACCTCTTGTGAGAGCTGCAGGTGGACGCGACGCCATATGCTTGTGGGGTCTAGAGAACGCATCGCGCCCGTCTGAAACGCCGTAGCGTAACCGTCTTACAGCAAAACCGTTGTTACAGCATACATTGCTGGTTTATTGAACATAAGCTTGGTGACCGTAGTGTCCTGATCCAGGACATTCTAACCCGATTTTAAAAGTATTTGTGGACTAAAAGTGTCTACCTAGCGTGTATCCGCGTATAGAAGCATAATTGAAGATTGACGACGCATAATGCGTAGAAGCATACACTGCGACCCAGATGGGCACTAGTGGCCCCTGGTGCGTGCAAATTCTAAGAGTCCTATGTAATATAGACATAGGACGATTAAATCTGGTTTTTACCACCGGGCACGCTAAGTTATCATTGATCAGCACACGAGGCGCCCGCGCACACCCACGAATGGCCTAGATTGTCGGCAGCGTGAACGTACTGGTTGATGGATGTGCAAGTGACACCAAGTTTCTCAACTTGTCGTTACGCTTCAAAATAACTTCATGCTATGAGGCGAATCTGAACGACATTAACAGCTTAACGCGGCACGAAGTACAGTGCGTTAGCTCAATCTCGGTTGCTGCCCCTTGAGACCGGGCCGTGACATTTCTGTACCTGCTTTCCAGCTCCGAGAGGTTGAAGTCCCTCGTCCGAGTACTCCTCCCGGCCGTCCTCCGCTTCGGAGGAACCCAGGCGGACTGCTTGATCTTTCAGCAGGACGTCAGCCTCTTCAGGGGCACCGCCAAGTGCGCGCCGTTCCAGAAGGAGACCACACCGTTTCAGCTCACCGGTCCGTGCATCATGCAATCTTGGGGCCATCGACGTGATACCGCGGGTGATGTTGAGATAACGTAGAACACATTGAAAAGGGAAATAGCTCACATATCGCGCATTTACGGTGAGATTTCGTCGAATGTACAGTATTATACCGTGAGCTGCATTAATTTGCAATTGCATAGGATTACTCAGGTGAATTGATCTGGATGTGCTTGCCATATATGTGTAAAAATATAATGAAATAAAACACTAATTAGACATGATAAGTGTAAATTTATATCAAAATGTCATAATTCACCACCAATAATCCTACAAACCCACAGCTTCTGCTGGCTTCCGCTGCGCAGTGCGAGTGTGCGTGTAAACGCTTCAGATCCAATGAGACCCCCACCCCACAGCTGAGTCGTGGTCTCAACTCAGCGAGTTCGTCAGCAGCCTGAACCTGACTCTGCTGTTTGACCTGAACGCACTGCTGCGGGACCCGGACGGTCGCTGGAACGGCACCAACGCCGGGAAGGTGGTCAGCACGCTGGCGGAGGAGGGACTGAGCGTCGTCTGGCAGCTGGGCAACGGTGAGGGATGGGGGACGCCGCGCGAGCGAGCACCAGCGAACCATCCTCGAGTCGGGAGGCCGCCGCGGCTCGTGCGGCGGGTCCGCGAGCTCACCTGCTTCGGCCGGCCGGGACACTTGCGTTGCGCGCCCGCCGCCGTCGGGGGAAGTCAGCGAGAGGCCTGGATTGGGCAGAATCCTGGTGTGCCTTAGCCACAGCGTGTTCGGCGGCGACCGGCCGTTTCGGAGCTATGGAGGGTGACACTATGGGGTCTCATCGCGCGCAGGGCCCGACGTCGGGTATCGCGCTGCCGCTCGGTCTGCCAGGGTGGCAGTGGGGTGAACTCATAGCTGACGGCTGCAGTAAGCCGGCGCTGAGGCGGGGGTCCAAGGCACTTTTGATGAAGCGCTGAATGAGGACGATGGGGAAATAATAGGACCTGGGAAAAAGCCCATGGCGCTGCATGACCTACTGCAATAGATGCGCCCAAAACCCAAAATTTTTAGCAGAACCTCTAAAGATGGCTCCATGTATCATTCAGGCAGATGGTATGAAATTACGAGTTTTGCGTTGTTTATCTTTAAAAATCGCTTTAACCTATCACGTTGGCTCCAATAAGGTATTAAGTTGCGTCAACGTAAGTTCTCAGGACCGGCCTTGGCCGCATCTGCACGACCCGACGCCAGACAAACCGCGGTCTCACAGCGGCCGCTCTGACGAATCCGATCTTCCCCAGAGCCCAACAGCTACCAGCACAAGTTCAGCTACTCCGTGGCGCCGGAGACGCTGGCTGCTGACTTCTTACAGCTGCGTCAGCTGTTGGGACCCGCCGCCCAGCTGGTGGGACCAGACGTGAACCGACCCAAGGTCAAGGGTCAGCTGGAGCAGCAGCCGGTCGACATGCCCGCCCAGCTGTACCTGCAGGGGTTCCTGCCCACCGCCGGAGCGGCGCTAAACGCCGTGACCTTTCACCAGTGAGTCTGAGAGCAACGCGCGTTGGCGGAGAGCTGCAAATACAAAACGTCTTCAAACGGATCAAAGACAGATAACAGATAATACGGTGCTTAATGATATCGCGTCATACAATCCTTTATTCCATTCAAGGTTTATGATTGCTTTGGATTTGCGAAAAAAAGCTTGATGACCTTGACAGCGAACACAGTTATCATATTCGCGTCTGATCCGGACATTTGCCAATGGGCATATCAGCTAAACGGCCGATCGACAGCCCAAACCCCGTCGCGCTATTTCCAGCCACGTCCCCTGCAAAGCCGCGCCTCTTCCCCCGCCTCCCCAGATACTACTTCGACGGCCGCACCGCCACCGTCGCCGACTTCACCGACCTGCGCCACCTCGCGGTGCTTCAGCGCCAAATCGCGGCCGTGCGCCGCGTGGCCGCTGGTGCTGCCATCTGGCTGTCGGAGACGGGCAGCGCCTGGGGCGGCGGCGCGCCCGGGCTGAGTGACGCCTACCTGGCCGGCTTCCTCTGGCTGGACAAGCTGGGGGTGGCGGCGCGGCAGGGCGTCCAGCTGGTGGTGCGCCAGGCGCTCTACGGCGGACACTACGGCCTGCTTAACGCCGAGATGAGGCCCAACCCGGTACGCTGGAGTAAGGAGATGAGGGGTCGGGGGAGAGGACCGATTGGAGCTGGTGTAACGAGGCTGGCTATCAACGCTCCCGGTGTGGTGGAAGAGCTCGCCACGGGGGGGGGGGGCGGATCTCGCACGTCGGCGGAGGGGATGGGGGTTGTCCGGTAGTAGTATTCAACTAGGAAAATTCCGCTAGTCGCGACAACTAGAAATTTCAATAAACAGGACAATTGAAGTGGTGACCGTATAAGCAGCGTAAATTGTAAAACCCATATCACAATCTGTATCCGTGGGAACATCGCGAAATCAGTAATCCGTTCAGCGCGTTCGGTCGCCAAAATTCACAGTGGCTCTGGTCCTCAAGAGACGAGACTGTCCCGCAGATCCCTGGCGACACCTTACCGTCGTTGCAGGACTACTGGCTGTCGTACCTGTACAAGCTGGTGATGGGGCCACGGGTGCTCAAAGTCCGAGTGTCGGGACCCAAGACGGTGCGGATGTACTGCCACTGCGGACACCGGTACCTGCCTGATGGTACGCTGTACTGCGGTGCTGCGGTACATCGACCCGGTCCGAACTTGTGCCGCAAATCTCCGCTTGACTGGAGAACGTGGCAAAATGTCTTAATACTCCCATAGTCCCACAAAGGATTTATTTTCACCAACAGCACATCGAATACGTTAAGAAGCGGACCACCCGCTCCATGACATGCAGCCTCAAAAGGGGCGCAGCCAAAGCCTTGGCGAAGGGGGCACAGGGTCAACAAAGTAGCGCCTGGTAGTAAAAGGCCCCCCCCTAAAAAAAGTCGCCGGATATGGCCCAGTTGTTATTGAGGACATGCTTTTATTGCATTTATATATATATATATATATATATATATATATATATATATATATGTACAAACGTGTGTATATTTTTACCTTCCATGACTAGAATATATGAGGCCAGACGCTGCCATGAGACCATTTCTGCCTTAGCTTTACAGTGAATAACCCCACGAAATAATGCGTTAAATGACTGCATGAAGTAAATCACCGGATCTCTTCATTTTGCAATGGTCTAGTGAACTCTTCACACCGACTGAACTCAGAAACTTAGTCGAAATTATTGTACGGCTTGTACAGAGATAGTAGGGTTTTCACGAATGTAGTTTGAAGACCAAAATTGGCTCATAATTTGTGTTAACGTGGCTTGTTAACGTTAATTTGTCCATTTGTTTTAACGTCACTTGTGTTAACGTGGCTTGGCCATGTTTGTCTGCATATGTTCAACATTCAGTCAGAACTGACCAGTGGTACAAATAATGTAACGTAGTTTTGAGCATACGCGCTCGCATATCTTGAAACAAAAAGCTACGCCAGGCGTTGTAGTTTCCTAAGGCCGCACAGCGTTGGCCCCGTGGCTAACACTAGTCCGTGGTCAACAGGTAAAAGAAAATGGTGACGCATCTGAAAGACGTGCCTTTGAACGCCTTTGAACACCACATCGCACATTGAGGGATATTCCGGGCGTATATTTCACCTGTGCGGTTTTAGATTGATGACAATGACGTACTAATCTTCACAGCACCGCAAAGTGGTGCTGGAATCTGGCGATGGAACTGGTAGAGTAAATGTAAAATCTTTATTCTCCGTGTTCCTGTAACTGTTAATCTGTCAGGACAACCTCAAAGTTGCAAAAAAATTCACCCAGTGTAATTTTTGAGCAGTACGAATTAATCTTTAAAAACATTCACCAACAGTCTGTTACAATGGTGGTCGTTGCGCACTCGACGCCCGCCCCCTGGCGTTACTTGCAGTGGTCGACGCCGTTCGGTTTTACGAAAACTGTGACCCAAGCCATCGCTATCCTCGCTTTCCAAGATTGCGGACGTGCCATTGTGGCTCTATGACACACTCGGCTGCTGGGGCTGTACAGGGCCCCAGATCAGTGTAAAACACTGGCCCAGCTTTGCAGCTTGGCAAGTGGGTCCTCAGGCCCATACCGATACTGAGCCGACTATGTGGTATGGTGGTGCCTGGCGGGCATATAGGCTATATCGGCTCAGGAGGTCCCCGATCGGCGCAAAGGGCCCTCTGACCGTTATTTTAGGGTCCGTCTCCGCAGTTCGGGCCCCTGAATAAGACTCCGATCAGCCCTCCATGCCTTTGGGCCTTTGATCGTCGGGCCCGGCGGCCCTCTGCGCCCTGAGAGCCTACTCGAACAATGCCTCTGGCCGACTCGGGCTCCTCGACAACACAGGACCCCTGCTAGGCGCTGTGGGGCCCTGAACAATGTAAATCGTGGCCCCGGCTTTGTCCCTGGTTGTGAAAGGGGACGTAGGGCCATGCCGCCACGGAACCGACTGCGCATAATTGGTGGTGTCTGACCGAAATATAGGCCCTTATCGACTCAGCGGGCCCCTGATCAGCGCGCAGGGCCCTCTGGCCGGCATTGGAGTGTTCGGCAATGCAGGCTGGGACCCCTGAATGAGATCTCCGATTGGCCTTTCGGGCCCTTCGGGCTCTTAATAATACGCTCCGAAGGGCCCCTCAGGTCCATCAAAATCTGAGGGGTGGGGGGGGGGGGGGCGCGGGCATGTGCCTCCTGTGCCCCCTGCCTACGCTGCTAATTCCCAAGGTGCTGAAACGTTCAGTGTCGGTATCCATTTGCAATGTTCGTTAATGCCCTTAGCTCGCCTAGGCCAGCGAACTAGTTCTGAGTATTTATCTCAAAGGGTGAGCGAAATTATCCGTGACAACTGACCGCATATGACGCAGATTCCGTGTCTTGCTTTACCTTGAACCTGGGTAACGCGCCCGAGAAGGTACGCCTGGACAGCAGCATGCAGGAGGGAGGCATCCAATACATGCTGACTCCCCCCAACGGCAACTTGACCTCAAGGTAAGGACCGATTGGCGAACACGCCTCCTGGCTGTTCGGCACGTGTCTCGGCTCCACTTCTGGGCGCAGAAACACCTCACCGAAAATGTCGAGAACTTTATATATATATATATATATATATATATATATATATATATATATATATGTATATATATATATATATGGCCAGGGTTTGAGCCCGATTTTTGCGAACATTGCAGTTAGTGGATGACCTCATTATAGGTTGTGTCAAGCGTGAATGGTCAGTTACTACGCTTCCGGTACCACTGGTGCAAAGTATTTGTGTTACAACCTCAGACTTTGTCTCCAATCACCATTTATCCTTCGTCGGTGCTTGCAACGTAACCATTCTGTCACTCTCGCTTGGATTTCGTACCTCATCAGTTCCCCCGATTTACCATATTTTGAAATTTATAATCTAATTACATTTATCTGCGACCACCGCTATGGCTCTGCCTCGACCTGCGCCGTCTCCGCCGCAGGGGTATCCTGTGTAACGGCCAGCTGCTGCAGCTGGAGCAGGACCGGCTGCCGGCGATGCCCGTCGCCCTGCTGGAGCCGTCAACGTCACTGACGCTGCCCGCCTACAGCATGGCCTTCCAAGTGTTCCGGCGGGCCGCGCCGCGCTCCTGCTTGCTGGAGGTCTGAGGAGCGCGGCCGCCGGCAGCGACGGCGCCGAGGCCGCTGGGGGTAAGGCGTGGAGCCGTGGGGAGCGGAGCAGAGGATCTGGCAGTGCGGGTTTCACAGCGAACAGCGGAGGGCGAATGGCTACTGACTCTGAACTGAGGTTACACTGAAGCCTCAGGTATAGCTTTGACTGGATCTTATGGAAGTATCGCAGACTGAGGGCCATTCTGCTGTTGGAAGATTATGCGAATCCGTCGTCAAGGTTCAGGTCCACGGTCTCGGTCATCACAATACCCACGCGCACGGGACCACGTTGAAGTCCGAGCAGTGACGCGACGTCTCGCGAGACCGTCTCACCAGCGTGCGTCTCACCAAGAGGCGTTTCCTTCAGCCGCACCACAGTCGTGCCCGCGAGCGTTTCACGCGTGGTCTGCGGCCCGCGCGTCGGTCGCCGCGGCCGCCAGCTGACGTCTGTTCCGTTTACTCCGCCCTGGTGAGTAACGCTGCAGCAGCGTCGCAGTCGCTGAGGCGGCAGATCCACCAGCTTTGACACTGTTAAGGCGTGGCGTCAAGGTCCCGATGGTGTGTTGCCTCTGCCCGCGCGCACAATCCGTACCAATCGCCGCTGCAGCAGAGCTCCCAACACGGCCGACACGCCGCTGTTTTTGTCAGGTGCACCTCCGGCTGGTGCTGAGGCCGTTCTATGATACCACTGGCTATGTGAGCTCCCAGGGGGATGCCTCGCTCCTGTCACTGTCCGTCGGGTCGTGGACGGAGGTCGGAGCCTGGCTGAGGCCCAGCAGCCTCCAGGCGAGGGAGGGGAGGTGTGTGTGTGTGTGTGTGTGCTAACGGGAACAATCCGGCCAGTCGCTGACGGCGCGGAGATGCGTGATAACGATCCCGCCTTGCTTGTTGATAACTGCTCGCTGTGAGACCCGAGCTGTTCATTCTCAAATACGCTCTCCTGAAAACATGCATACGCCAATACAGTTTTATGTAAAGATGACATGATTGCACTTGCACTGGAGTACACGCTTGAGCACAGCATAACTTCATATCAGAACTGGGATCGCCAGCAGCGCGCCATCAGCGGACCAATACGCATCCGGGACCGGGAGCGAGGCATCGCGTAAGCGGTGTGTAATGCGGACCGCACAGGCGCCGGTCGATGGCACTGTCACGGCATCAGCTCATCACAAGCGGGTGAGATGCCGAGGCCGTTAAAACGAGGCTCGCATCTCTCACGCACACATCCAGCCTCCCTTCAAACCTGTCCGCCCCCGTCGTCCTGCCCTCCCGGCTCCCCCCTGTTCTCCAATGCCACGCCCCCAGCCCCTCCCACAGCCCCGGTGTCATACCCCCGTCTCGCCTGCCGCCCCCTCCTTGCGCCCTGTGCCGCGCCCCTCTCCCTTCCGCCGCGTGGCGCCCACGAAGCCGACCGCCACCACGTACACCTCGGCCGAGTCCGTGCGGCTGGCGGCCGGCTTCAGCGTCCGCACCCGCGCAAAAAACGGCGCCAAACTGTCGGTGAGCCGCCGCTCGCCACCGCCGGCCCACAGCTTCACCAGCAGCGCGCCGTTCGGCGCCAGCTGACGCAGCGCGAACTGCGCCACCGCGTAGCCGAGCGCCAGGATGCGGTCGTGGTCGAGCTGGCGCACGCCGCTGGCGCGCGGCGCCATGTCGCTGAGCACGAGCGTCGGCGGGGCGGGGAGGAGCGCCAGCAGGCGGCGCTGCGTCTCGGCGGCGGTGAAGTCGCCCTGGAGGTGGATGGCTGGAGGGAGCGGCTGCACGGTGAGCAGGTCCACACCCACCACGGTGCCCACCGGCCGATCCGCATCTGAGAACGGGAGGGCGCCGTGGGTCAGGCTTTGAAAACGCGGAGAGAGGTAGCTCAGAGGACACCAGGGCACGGCAGAACGACGGGCTGCAAAATACATTCCATTTGAGATGGGGACATATCATATAAGCAAGCTTCTTTTTAGCAAGTCTGTTCAGAAAGAGATCGGAGAACGCGGAACGCTATAAAATTTTTGACAGCCAGCCAGGATTGGGGGAGGATTGGGGCAAGGCAATCACCGAGTAAATCACTTCAGCCATGCCACGCGATCAGGTCGGTTTCCTCTGACTACCGGCGGTGGAACAGAAGCAGCCCTCCAACGCAATCGCCGGCGACACCGGCCCTATACCAACCGTCATAAAAAACATGCGGCAACACCGGCCCTTTACCAACCGTCACAAAAGCATGCAACAAGCCGCGGCAGGTCAATGGAGGTGGAAGTCGAACAGCCACCAGCCTGATGTTCGCCCAAAAATGACAGAACAAACTGACAACTGTCGTGGCTTGTGCCGCCAACCGTTAATTCATTTCGCACAAGCGCAAGGTCGAAGACCGGTGACGCGGCGGCGGCCGTCACCGTCGGCGGACGAGCCTCACCGCGTCCGTCGGCGTTCACCGCCCGCAGCGCCACCTGGGACCAGGCGCCGGGCGCGGCGCCGCACTCCACCACCACGCCTCCGGGCCTCATCAGCTCCACGCGGCCGGCAATCTCCAGCAGCTTGTACGCCGAGCGGGCCCTGCCGGGTCAGGTCAGGTCACGAGAGGTCAGCAGATGAGAACTACCGCCGCTGGCACGGGTTACACGCGCTACAAAGACTGGAATGGGCAGAGGTCGCAGGTCACGGGGCGGATAACAATGATGAGCTTATAGGTAATCAGCCGGGGGCAAGCTACACAAGAAGATAACGGACGCCTGAGTCCAGTGTACTACAGCGAAAGACGCTGCTTGGCTGTACATGCTGTGTGAGCGGAGTGACTTTTGGTTGACCAGAGTGTGTGGTCAGGTCAGAGCCTGCACTGAACCAAAACATGACTAAATGTTAAGGCTGGAAAGATGGAGAACAGCAAAGACATGGAGGACAATTAACTGACACACATGATGAACACCTGCGTCCATCTACAGCCAATCCAAGGCACTGTAGCTGAGATGCACATTAGTGGGCGATGTGGGATGAAATGCAAGTCATTAGCAGCAGCTTATAGATGACATCATGGGCAATGTGGGATGAAATGAAAGCCAGCAGCAGCAGCTTGTAGACAGCACCAAACATCACACAAGTTAATACACGATGAAGGGACATGTAAGACTCATACCCGACAAATGGAGGATACCTGTGCGTGGCATACATAAATGGGAAACACCAGATAGGGAGATGAAACAGTACCTGTAGTTCTCCAGCTTGGCTTTTTTCACATATGGGTCGTTCATTTGTCGAATGAGCCATTCCTGTGAGCTTTTGCCTCTGCCTTTAAGATCATTTGGAATCCTCTTCAGAACGGCCGCTGACGACGAAAATGTTCGGCAGCGACAGTAAAACACTGAGCCCATTATATATCAGTCCTGTAAAGAAACACACATGCGCTTTGAACCATGCTTTTTGACACAAGTTGTCAAATTTCAAATTTTCACGACAGCGGTGGCATGCTACAAAGGCTAGCTGCAGATCGTGATGGCATCCATAAGCCAATCCATCAGCCTGCCCCAAGGGCGAGGCGCCCGACCCGATCCGATGGGAACCGGAGCGAGTGATCCGATCCGACGGGAGCCGGGGCAACGGATCCGATCCGATGGGATCCGTAGCGCCCCAACGCGCTACCCCAGGGCCTGAAGCAAAACATGTGGAAAAATGGGACATGCAAAATCCAGGCTGTCCGTGGCTTTTTCCACTGTATGTTGCCTTTATTAGAGTGAATGTTTTCTGATGCCTAGATGCATTCCTGTGCACAGCTGAGTTGGGGCTGACAGGAGGATAAGGGAGGATAAAATCACATACTTGAGGCACAAGGTGCAGCTGATACCAGGACAGGAAACACAAGACACAGAGCAAAACTGATACCTTTCAGTACCAAGATGCCATGGCCACTACTAAACCATAACAGCTGTGCTCTGTGACTGCTTACAAGGGCTTAACCACTACCAAAAATGATAACCCAAATGATAGCTTGTGCTGGATACATTGCACAATAGCATAACTGATGTACCAACCAAACCTGGCTGACTGCTCCAGCAATGATGCATCAAGCATCCAAGCTGAAAAGTAATATAGCCCTAAAAGGATCACTCCAACTGATGCTTTGACTGTATGGATGGAGTGGTGATGCACTGACCATGTCATGATGATTCCATGCAAACCACAAGGAACTGGAAAATCGACCCAGCAATGCTACCAGTAATGTAAAGACTTTGCCAAACATCACCTATGCCTTCACAAGCCTTCATACCCTGTCACATTATGTCAGGCAGCAGATGAGCAGCACATCAACAGTGAGCTGGCTGGTGATGGTGATGATGATGGCCCTCCAAGAGCTGTGCACTTCATGCTAACTTTAAAATGTCCATTGTCAATGATGACAACCCTGAATGATGGTTGAAGGAGGAGGTAATGCCCAGCATATCAAATTTGAGGCAAACCTGGTGTGGTGATGATATCAGTTGCAGAAGGAAACTGCATCTGCTTTAGGGGTCAAATGGGTCTTCTTGTTTTTATATGTTTACCATGCATGCCATTTATGCCAGATACCCCACTTGTGTTGTGATAAAAATATATCTCAGACAAAAGTGATGGCAGTGACAGTGACCTGCTTAGAGAGCGATTGCAACTTTAAGTGACAGGCTCCGGGCTATGTGCATGCAGTGCACGCTACATACACAGTGATCAGTGCACCTAAGAATCTGCTGTAGCCCTGACACTTTTTTGGCAATATTTGCTTTATCATGTTACAGAAAGTGAACGAGAATGGTGGTTACAATAAAAGAAAACATATTGAACTGAATTACTTTGGTTGATTATAACCAAATTTTTACATTATGCTTATTCCTGTTATCTATATTTGTCATACTACCTTAATTAGTGAGTACCAGGGGTTTTTCTCTGCATTAATCAAAAAATAATACTAGATGATCACTTCCAAATTGCTTACAAGACTATTTCTGTGTTGCTCCTAGTGAGTATATCCATAAGTACCCATAAGCACATTAAGGATGACACAAACATTAAGCATACATGGGATCACCAGAAAAGTTGACACTTCAGATATGTGGCACAGGGCAAAGTGGCTGATGTATCTATGTCTTCCAGGCCTGTTGGAAGTATCCACCCAAGTAAATGCATTCTGAAAGCATCCTTCCTGCTCATGTTCTGTTGTGCTTGTGTACTTAACATGTGGGCACAATTGGGATGGTGCTTGCCACCAGCACAGTCAGATGCAGGTAAGAAAAAAATACAATACAAAAACTATGAAAATTTTGGCCCTTCCTATTCACTGTGGCAATGGTGGGCGGCTTAGCTTGAGTCAGACCCTATATACGAATCGCTAGACCCCGGCACCACTGCACTAGGCCACATTGATATGGGCCCCGCAACTTCATGGGCTTTATTTTAGAGTGATCCAGTTTCATAAGTTATGCATCCATTACATTTAACTGCATCTGCAGGGCAAACCGATATAAACATTCGCGACCTACCCTTACGACACTGATATAAAACTACGTGGTAGCCATAGATATTTCGAAAATAAGTGCGCTAGTAGCTGAAACAGGAGCGCCACATTTGTAAGCACATCCTTGAGCACATAAAGCGAAAATGACATGTTTGGTGGACTCAATGGTACTAATTCCACCCCCCCCCCCCCCCCCCCCCCAACAAGAACGCGGTTGCTTTTGCTCGATCTTGACTGACAATGCTTTCATTGGCCAAAAGCAAAACCAATCAGGCTGAAGGCTGCTGGCCCTTATCTCACGCCTTTCGATTCTTTGCAAAGGAGAATTTAATTGGATGGAAAGTGCCCAGAATTGAGAAACACGGCAATCCCGATTCAGGTGCATCTCTCAAGGCTCGACATCCACCTGAAAATTATGAATAAGGCATCAAGTTTTGCTACATTCAGAGGGAAACGGTACCCGTCAACGTACAAGTAAACTCGGCCAGTTGCTAAATGATTGCCAGAAACCCTGAATTATGTAATATTTGAAACACCAGCGATATCGGTTATGTCAAAAGTGAGACTCGCCCCCAAAACGCTTCTAGCCGCACTGTTCACCTCGAGACCAACCCCTCCCGGCCCTCCCGGTTTACGCCCATGCCGCGCCGGCGGCAGCATTCAGTGCAGATGTAGCTCCGACTCGCCGGCACTCCGTCGGCTCGCGCTGGAGTTCGACCGTGACGTGCCTCGCTGGCGAGGAGCAAGGGCGGTGGGCGCGGCTCCAAGGCATC